AAATTGTTTACGTATTCCTTTATTATACGCTCATGAAAAATTATATTCATAATTAATTGAATTAAATTTATTACATCTAACATTTTACATTCCATTCATACTCGTAATTCGTCGCACTAAAAATTCCTTAAATGGACGTCAATTGAATTCAAAAATGTTTACAACACGGAAACAATAATAACACATTTTTCAGGTTAATTATAAAATAAATTTCAACCATAAAAACACTCTCTGTACAATTTTGTTAATAAACATCAGGTTGTATTGAATCATTTCAGTGCGTACGACCGAAAAATGTAGAAATTACGATACAAGCTAAGAGCAGAAGGCTGTTCACGCAGAGAAAAAATGGATGGAAATGACAGAATAAATTTTTTTTTCTACGCGGGGGATTCGTTTTCCGGACAATTGACTTTAAAAAGCCGTCGAGTACGCGTGCACTTGACTAAGGCATGATTTAAAGGATCCTGTTATAGAACTGAAAAGGATCTCGTCTCTTTCTTTTTTTATTTTCTGAACGCCACTTCTTCAAAACGCTATTTCTATTTTTCCGCGTAAAGTTGGATCCGTCGGAGTTTCTAAAACGGGATCTCAATTTTTTAACTCTCGGAACGTTTCGAGCATACTTTTCCTTAATTGAGCACCGCTTTTAGTGAAAAGAATTATATTCTTGGAAATTACCGAATGCAATAAAACGATGAAATCTGGGTAAAGTTAATTTCGTGGTTAAATTACGAGGAACAGAAATTCTCTTTTTATGCGAATTTAGCTGAAAGATTTCTTTGGTTTTTTTAGGAGGACATGCCACTTTCCTGGATGCAAGAAAAGTCAGATTTGACTTTTTCAGCCAAAGTTGCTCTACTCGGTGAAGAATAATCATTGATATTAGTTGATATTAGTTCAGTTTTATGAATAGAAATTTGCTACTTTTAAGAAAAGATTAAATTACTTTTATTATTCTATAATGAATTAAATTTATCGTAAATAGCAATGCTTAGATATTAACTTCCTAGAAAATGTAGCGTCCCTCACAGTTTTCAATTTTTTTTATTTACATATTATAATCGAGCAATCTGCTAAATCGAAGAAGACCATAATTACAAACGCTCGAAACGTTTTATTAATAACAGGACTCGAAGGGGGCCGCATTGTTGTATCGAATGAATATATTCTTACTAAAAAATTTCACATGTAGTACAAGTATCCAACTGATAGAAGATCGCCGTAATAAATAATAGCTATCTTAAAGATCTCAAGTGGAACAATTTTCACAACCCTGCCCTATGCAGCGTTCGACAGCACCTCGTTAAAGAGATCTCGGTCTGGATCGACACGCGACATCCAGCAATGGTCGAGTCGGTTACATAAAAATTCTGGGATTAACGAAGCCCCTGCCTTGTAACTCTCGGATTTAGGAATTACGTTGGTATGCTCTCCTCTGCAGTTTCCTCGGTTGCCTTGTAACAGTCTTATCGCCGGCGGTCTTCGACGGCACGTAACACGACCATAACGGGTCTTTGCTTCCTCTATTGTTTCTGGATGACTGGTGTCGAGGGTGGCCGCACAGTAGCTCTCTTAGAACAAGATTACACGCGGACGATTCAGATTTCCCTAGTCGAATCCTCACAGAATCTTCCAATCCAATTAATACAACGTGATAAGTGCAATATTGAAATCATTAAAATGGCACTTTTCGTGAATAGACACGATGTTTAATTAACCCTTTCAGACTCGACGTTTCTGTCTAAGGAGAAAAGAAATAACTTTTTTTATTTAAAGGAAGCGTTTATCTGCAATAATTCACGCAAACACGTGTACATTTTCGTGAACAAATGGTCGCAAAATGTAAAACTTGGAAAATTTATGATTTCGTGTATCCAAGAAACTTTATCCAAAAAGGAAGATAATCAGTTTTATATATATAAATAAAGTTGAGAACATGCTATAGCATACATAAGCCTCCTTCTTTTATTGTCACATATTGGACTAGTTGTGTATTACAATGTACACCAGGTCTGAAGGGGTTAACGTACTTAATAATTCAACAAATAATAGGATATCTGTATTCAAGCAACCACCCTCCAATTATATGTACCCTCCGTCACAATTTCTCGCAAAGCGATACACCAAACTGCTATTGGCAGCAACGTCGACTGTACCGTCGGTGGAATCATTAGTTTCTCGATGACAGAGCAACGAAGACTGCGATTTTGCATTACACGAGGACAAACGTTAACGATAAAGGCGTACAGGACATTAGGGACGGAAACTGGAACGATTTACCCGTTGGGGGTTGATTCTAGATCACCCCGTGTTCCCGCTGAAAGGCAATCCGATAGAAAGCGCGATAGCCCGTGCAGACGGAACGTCCGAGCTGCAATCTATCCGAATATCAACTTTCGTCGGCACGAGGTTTACAATCTTCCCTTTTTACGAGACTCGTAAACGTTAAGGAAACGTTACGTAGCGCGCAACCCTTAGGTTTACGTCGATTTGATTGACTCCGTCGAGGATCGTTTCGCGTAGGTGCTCCAAGGTGATTGACTCGTCTAGTGGCACGTCTTCGCTGTCGACTATTTACCGTTTGCATCTTTCCGTCTTTACACCAGGTGAAATTTAACCCTTACGAGGGAACTGCTAACCACGAATTTAAAATTAATTTTTTAAGCCCACTGGTTTCCTGTAAGAATCATAACGGAATGTGCGTTGCCTATGTCCTGGATAATAGAGACATTTTGTTGACATTTCCTTCATCATAATTTCATTTATATACACGTACTTTTAAATAATTCGCAAAAATTTGTCAATTACAGTATCTTTAATTCTGTCCTCGAAAGTGCAATAATCATGTAAAACAGATTACGTACCCTTGTCAAATAACGAAAAGGAAAGAAGGAAACAATAATATATAGGATTTCTGGCGTTCTCCATTCATTTGTTTCCACGGTCAGCATCCTCCGAGGGAAATTAGCATACGAGACCCAGCGTTATCGTGGATAAAATAGAGACGTTCCACTTTAATTCGGCGAGCGCGATGATGCACGGGAAGCGCTACGTGATATAGCCCTCCATTCAGGATCGACTCGGCTGAATTATGAATGGCGGTCGATAGCTAGACGAAGGACGGCGTGCACTGACCATGTGAGTTTCGACTGGTCGAGGGTAAAGCTACGTGGCTCTCCTAAGAATATTTATAAAAATGGAAACACGTTTTCGTTCGAGGTCAAACGACACGTCGGACGTCCCCGGGGTGTTGTTTCTGTAATCTACCCTCGGGGATTCAATTCTCGCGAACCACCCCTGAAATATGACGATCCCATCTTCGGGTGTCGTGCGTGAAAGATGGTCTCGAGTGAAATTTATCGACTTAAACGCCGTGTCGAGCGAAACGCGGAGGGTTGAACGATGCCCGTCCGCGTTTATACTGACGCAAATCGAAAACTGTTTGTAGGGAATCGTTCGCGAGGGATAACACGGGGTGCTGAGTCGAAAAATAAGGTTGTTCGTGCAATTTAATTCTATACCCCTGGGCTTATTTATGGAGATAACGAAAAATTTGTCTTTGGAGGGCGAAAGAAAGGAAGGGACTATAATTCTTTAACCCTCGTAATTTAAATAGCTTTTCTCATCGAGAAAACTTAAATGACGTTTGTGTGTTCTCCGACTCAGAAAGTATCGTTTAATTATTATTGAGTGTCATTGTAGACTTTAAATTTCATCAGATTCGAATTAAATGAATGTGCAGCATTTAGTGGAGGGAAAAAGTAATTTCAAAATTAAATCGTCTGGAATAATTTATTATCTACAAATACTAGCTCCTTAGTCAATGAATTTTAATATCTCCCTTTTCTTTATTTTCCTGACTTGTGACTAAAGCATAATTTACGTGCTAACACAGTACTCGTAATAAAATAATAAAGTTGATAATTGGAACCAATAGGATATACCTAATCCATGCAGACTTGATTCATTTAAATAAATATCTTGTGACAGAGAAAATAGGCAAAGTCCAAAATTGACCTTCGCAAATACTAACAATATTCGGAGACTGAGGTTAAAGAACTTGAACATTAAAAAATACTAGAATCGATTTTTTGGACTCCATAGACCAGAATAACCCTGGTATAATACTCCCTTAATGGTTTAAGTTGCGAACAGATCGATGTCTTCGAATGGCTCTTGAAAGCTCGTATTTTTAGAATTAATATCCGTGCCTAACCGTACGATGGTATGTAATGTATACTGTTTCTGCCGAAGGAGGATCCCTTTGATCGTAGAATTATTGATAGATCGTTAGAATATGGATGAGGGATTATCGGACATCGACGAGTACTTTTATCGTTATCGATTGTTCCTATTGATTATTCTCTTTTCGTCTTTACGAGTGTCTCCATTGCAGGATTTATTTTCGAAATGAGCACGAGAATACTTACAATTATGTTCGAACTACTTTGAAATTCTTAATATAAATTTCAACTTGTTCGTAAATGTTTCTTGGACTATCAGTTTTCAGTATAGTTAATTTTGGGGAATTTGGGGATCACATTGCACGATTGTCTAATCTAAAACAGTTTAAATATTCACTTCAACTCCACCAAGTTATTTTTTATTATACAACAGTGTCCCAATTTCTCGATGAAACCAAACAAAACGACATCACACAATATTTAAATAACAGATAACGATTCAAATATTACTCCGAACCTAACAAAACAACAGTATAGAATATAAAGTGCGTCAAAGTACCAAAGGACCAATGTCCCAATTTCCCCAAATAAAAGCAAAAAGAAGTCGACAAAACTCATTTCTCCTATCCACATAAATGAACCGATCACCACCGATCGAAATCATCTTTCAATTTCTTCTTCGTCGATCGCTTTCATTCCATCCCTTCGTCGACTGTATCACGATCCTCGCGGCAGTTTCCGGGTCATATCACCGCCTCGCGATGGCGTCCGTAAACTAAACGCAACGTCACAAGTTCTGCTCTCTGCTTGCAGCGATATAGCTACATCGATCCGCCATCGATATCCTCGAAGTTACGAGCTCGTTATCGAAGCGTTCACGTAAGATCACGGGGGAGTTTGTGGTCGGAAGAGGAACGACAGCCTCCGGCAGGACTGGTACCGAGAGGATAGGCAAGTGATCCAGGTGGCGAAGGCGAACCGGGTGCGAGCTACCAGGAGAGCCTAGCACCTGGCTGCTCGAGGTTCTTGACGTGGGGGGTGACGGGTAACAGCACCTAAGGGCGGGTGGGGGGATGCAGCTCGAAAGGGTGGCGGCATGGAGGAGCACTCGCTGGAGGCTCACATGCAGGCGGGCCTCATCTGCGTGGTCGGTGTCGCCATCATCTTCTCGAATCTCCTCATCATCGTCACCTACCTTAATTTCCGTGGTGAGTACCCTACAGTAACTAGCGCACGAACCGGTGAAAGTAGTTAGGGATGTAGACTGCGTCGAGTGCGAGCAGACTTGAGCAGATTATACTTGAAATGATAATGAGAAATAGAGATCATTTATTTCGAATCGTTATTTTTAATGGGAATATTTATTCGAAGATAAAAGTAGTATCGATTCGTTTGAAATAATAGCTACTTCGAATAACGAGTTTATTTGATTCTTTGTTTTGGGTAGATATCAGTTTTAAAATGTACTTAGAAAATAGTAATTTCATTCTACTGCAGTTACCTGCCAACAGTTTTTCTTTAATTATAGAATTAGGAGAAAAGTATTTAGAAGACACTGACCTGAAGTGCACTAATATTGGGAAACATACAAAACCATACATAATATGTATAAAATATATTCTATTAAATTCTATTAAATTATATACTACATAATGATATTAATTCATTTTAATTCATTTTATGATTAGTTATAATACAAAAAAACCTGCAGTTTGATCATCATAAAATGGTACAATAAAAATTCATTTCCGCTATTTCTTTAAAAAACAAACTCCACGATTTTCGCCACGACTTGAATCTCGTTGCAAATCATGTTGGCTTAGAACAAACAATAAAACGCAGCGCTGAACGGAGCTGTGGATTTTCAAGGCTCTGTTCGAGATAAATACAAATGACTGTCGCACCGTGCAGGTCCCTCCGAGGTGATAAACTATTACTTGCTGTCTCTCGCATCGGCGGACCTTCTTTGCGGTCTGCTGGTGGTTCCGTTCTCGGTGTATCCAGCGCTGGAACGAAGATGGGTCTACGGGGACTTCCTGTGTCGTCTCGTTGGTTATTTGGAGGTTACTCTCTGGGCGGTATCCGTCTACACCTTCATGTGGATCTCCGTGGATCGTTACTTGGCTGTCAGGTACGTTCAACCATGACCGGGACTGATTAGAGTTGCTGTCATTAGACACCATTAATTTCCGACACCAGTGGGTATGTTGGCCAAACTATGCAAGCCATTATAGGAAACTTTAACCCTTTAAAACGAAATTTCTTATCTAGGAAACCATTCAGCACCGTACACGAAATTTAATAATTATTGTAGAAGAATGAGAGCGGAAACAATTAATAAATTATTTCCTGTAATACTTCAAAAATTTGTAGGAGTCTTAATTGAACCTGCAAATAAAGCCATGAATTGCTTGTACTGTGAATGAAACAATGTCCTCCCCATTGTGTAGCTGTCTTTTGAAATTTTAATTATAAAACAACCTACATTACTCGGTGGTTCCTCCACAATCCCTAACTATAAGACGACTCAACCATTCATAACTCTTCCTCGCAGACCAACCAACATTTAAAAACAATTCAGCAACGAAACTCCGTTACCTAGAGAAACTATTAAAAATTCGAAATTGACTATCAAACATCGTAATAACGAAGCGATTATCGATTTGTAGGAAACCGTTGCGATACGAGACCGTGCAAACGAAGACCCGATGCCAATGCTGGATGGTTTTCACGTGGATCAGCGTGGCGATGATGTGCTGTCCGCCGTTGCTCGGTTTCCAAAAGCCCATTTTCGATCGGGAGGCGTTCATCTGTATGCTAGACTGGGGGAACATGGCCGCCTACACCATCACCCTGTCGATCCTCGTGCTGGGCCCGTCGGTCATCACCATCGTCTACACTTACTGCTACATCTTCACGATGATGAGGCGGCTGCGATCTGGCGTGCTGATTCACGATAAAGAGTACGCGACTGCCCTCTCGGAGAACTTGAGCAATCCGAGTCACATCATGTCTTTCGTCCTGGTGATGACTTTCTGGGTGTCCTGGGCACCGTATGCCGGTCTTCGGATATACGCTGTCGTTAACGGACCGCCTCAGGTAAATTACACGACACCTTCAGGTAATTTGTCCCGTGGATGTAATTAAACGAAGGATTTTAACATAACTTCGCTCGATTGTTCATCGATTAAACATGAATCATATGAGCCCCATCTCGATTTATTAGGTCGTCCCACAAGTTCATGCCACTTATTATTCTGCTACTCAAATTAATATGTAAAATGTACCTTTAAGTGTTATAAAATGTGGTGATCTCTTTCGTTTTACAATATTTTCCCACGATCCTGACATAGTCTTTTTACCGTCACTATAAAATTTCTGTAGTTTTTTTTTTATTGAATATCGACACAGTCTGCAGCACGAACTTATGGGATGACTTAATAAATTGGCCACCCCAGTTTTACAAATGATATCAAAATTGTATAACTTTAACGGAGACCCTTGTGGAACGTACAGATTTTCAAGTGAATTTTTTCAATTTAAATCAAAATTCAATTTAGGAACTTGCTGAAAATTTAATATGTTATAAAAACTGATATTATGAATCACTTAAAAAAAAGTAACAATTATCGACCCCGCCATTGCTGAGATATAATAATTCGCTTATAATTCATTAAAATTGGAAACTGAACGTAGAGGGTCAGCATTGTTACCACAACCATTTCCCGAGTATTATATACAGAGTGTCTTTCCAGAATTAATCCAAGCACCGGAAATGGAGGGTAGCTGAACCATAATTTCCTTTGCGAAAATGTCGGATGGTGCTTCCTTTTTGAATTATTAACGAAAACCCGCCGACCAACCACAGTAGTCGCGACCTGGCGTAGTCAGACAGTCCTGGCTCGAGCCTATGCTCTCGCTCTAATAATTCAAAAACGAAGCACGATCCAACGTTTTCGCAAAGGAAATTTTGACTCAGAAACGTCTCAGCTACCCCGCATATCCGGTTCTTACACTAATTCTGGGACTGTACATGTATAGATACACGTATCGATTTATTATGGACGTGTACGAGAACAATAAGACTGTATCTTACAAAAGTTTCCAATTATACTTCCGAACGTGACTATCTCTGAACAACTACCTTGAACACCTGATTCTAGACCACCGCGGACTACTAAAGCGCCTGAATTAATCATTCCATCCGCAATTCGAGTAAAGTTCCAAGGATCCACGATTCTGTTTCTCCTGTTTCAGGTACCGTTTATGCAATTCGCGGTGGTGTGGCTGGGGGTGACGAACAGTTTCTGGAAAGCGGTGGTCCTGGCAACCCTGAGCCCCCAGTTTCGGCTGGCGGTTCGCGTCCTCTGTCTGACGCTGTGCTGCCGGCAGAGACGACTTCCGCCGGAGCTGCTCGGCCTCGACGACGACGATTAAAAGCCAAACGCCTACGAGAACAAGAGGGAGACGCTTTTCTTTGCGCGCGAGAGTTCTACACGCGCCCCGTTCCTAGAGCATCGCTTTTTATCGCGGTTTCGGGGTCGTTCTCGCCGCCGTTACTCTCGGAGTCTTCTTCGAGGGCTGAGACTGAGATTCTTTGTTCCGAAACGCGCCACGACGCTTCCGTTTGGATTCCGCGTTCGACGAACAGAGACTGGGCAAACATTTTTATCCATGGTGACAAATTTCTTGTCACCAATGAAACGTTGTTACTCATTATTCGATGCTACTCGTGGGAGAAATTCTGTGCTGTAGTACTTATCCGAAGAAGGAGACGTGGTTGGGACTTTTTCCACAGGGAATCTTAATGAGCAATCTGCAATAAGCGTGGGAATTTTGTAGAACAGACCGGCGCGAATTTTAATTGAAATGAAATGGAGATACAATTATTTAAAATAATTTATTTTGATGCAACTATTTGATAACAAATATATTACCGAATGATTTGAAGCGATTTTAAATATTTGCCTTATTTGCTACTTCATCTTCGTTGCTTTAAAATTTGAAATCTCGAATACAATTTTGAAGAACAATTTCACAATTATCTCGCATAATTATGAAATGAAATAATATGTTATATTACTTCAAATAATTCAAAATAATATTTCAAATAATCATTTTGAAAGTGCTCAGGTCTGTCTTAGAACAACTTATAACTTCGACAAACGTCGCAGTTCCAATTACGATGTGTTAATTGAAGTTCTGATCGACTGTTTGATGGAACAAGTCTCTCTAAACAGTGTTCTTCTTTGTCATCGATTATTCCAATGAAATTTTACTCCATCTCTGTCCGTCGGTGGCGAAATTCAACGGAAGAAACGATTAAATGCTCATCGTTGAACTACCTGGCTCAGAAGCCATCTCTTCTAATCGTGGCTTTCGGCGGTAGCCGATTTTAGACGCTTCGTATGTCTCGCTTCGATAAGAATTTTTTCGAGCCTCGGGAAACACGCGTTCCTAACCGAGGGAAGTCGAACTCGAGGCTGCTCGCTCGAGTACAATAAGTGAATTCTCCTGATCAACGAGAAATCGAACGCTATAATATGATAATAAGATCGAGACTTCAAAGACTAAATTTTAACGATCATTCTTGATTCTATTTGCGTGAACCAAAAGGTACCACCGACTTTTCTTCCTTCCTCTGGTGCTCTCCCTCAATGAATGTCTGAAGCAAACAAAAGTAATCAAGTTTTATGTTGTAACATTTTGTAGTACTTACATTACACAATTGTTCGGTGGTATTTAGTACACAATACGAAAGAGCAATTCAAGAGTTGCAAAGTGGTACATATAATACAAAACCTGAAGACTTTTATTCGATTCAAATATTCGTTGAAAAGGAACATAGAGAGAAGGTAGTAAAATTGGAAGCATCTTTCGGTTAATCCTAATATTTAGACGAGTTCAATCGATTCCATCGAATCCTTTCGCGCGTACTTGTCTGATACCTGTGTCGCTGAAACAAATGAAACGGAGTGAAATACGAAACAGATGATGAACACGGATGAGACCCGACCCGGTGATAAGGGCACGTTGCTCGCTTCTTTAAGTATTCGAATCACGTAAACGTATAACTGTAAGAGCATTCCCTTTTCTATACGATTTCGAGTTAAGCATAGTCGATTACACACACACACACACACATACACACACGCGCGCGCGCGTCTACAGTCTATTATTAAAGAGTATTACCGAGAACGAGAAGAACCGCCAAAACTATTGGCGAACAGACGAAAGAAAGAATCGAAGCTCAGCCTGGGGCACGAAGACGACGATCCTCGACGAGTCGTCGGTAGAGATATCGAAGAACGACTTCGAGTTCGCTGACGCGCGTCAGCTCCGATCTCGCTTCGCTCAACGAGAATCGACAGTACCTTGCAGAGACGAGCAAAATTCTTATCAGAATACAAAGCTTTCCTGATCTCAAAAGAAACTAGTTGCGATTCTGCCAAAACATCACAGTCTCTTACCTAAAGAAGAAGACCCTATTAAAAAAGTGTCTCAAAATAATATAATTATATCTAAATTCAATACGTAAGTTTCAAATTGGCTTTAACTACTCTATAATACCTACAAACTTCAACACATAAGATAAAAAACTTCTTGAATTATACGAATAAATTATACTTCGCGTTACAATGCTTTTGGTTACTTCTCAATGAAACGAAAGTGTCACATGCAATGTCTTTATTCTTTGTGTATTATTCTAGTAAAATTTTGCTCGTCTCTGGCGTCCGGTTTGTTCTTTCAATTTTTGCTTAATTATCGTCGAACGACGGATAAGCTCTCTCGAGTGAGCGTTCGCAGTCTAACCGTTGCCTATCTATGTCGTAAGATCACGCTCAATAAATGTCGTAGCCAGTCGCGCACGGAAGACGAGCTGTTCACTTCAAAGCTGTTCTTCCACCTGAATAATGCTACTATGATGCGATCGTACAGTTGCGGACGAAGTACGAATCACATTATGAATACAAGTATCAACCCTTTGCACTCGGATGTCCCCTCTGAGGGGACTTTGAAAGTCCGGAGAACTTTGACAGAGATCAGATAATATCAAACAAAAGAATCGATAACGGAGTTCTCCAATGAATTCATTAAATTCACAACAGAACACTTTTCCAATGTATAATTCACAGATTTTCGAATAGAGACACTGATTCTCCATAAATTACGTTTATAAAAGTATCGATAATCGTGAGAAGGAGGTTCTTCACCCTCTAGACAGATACCTTTTTCATCCCGTGGTATCTGTAACACTCCACTTTGTACGACAAACAACACGCGTAAATACAAGCCACCGTCTATAACTCATTTCTCGATTCCATCATCGACGCGTCGTTCACGCGGAAGAACAGCCTAATCACTGTCGCGCGATTAGGACGAAGGGCGGGTGGGGTATCGTTACGGCGAGCCGAATCGATCACGAGAAACGGGGAAGCTGATGACACATACCGAAAACAACGGAAAAACAACACACAAAAAAAAAAGAGAGAGAAGAAAATGAGAACACTAGGTCAATTAACGGAGATGCCTCTACGAATGCGTCGATCCGCGCGCCCGTAGAAAAGCCGATGAAGAATTCGTCGAAGGGGGTCCGATCGCCATGGTCTCACGCTTTTTTTAACGCGCTTCCTCCTCGACTCGCCCACGCGATCGGTACTCCTTCCTCCACCTCTCTCTCTCTCTCTCTCTCTCTCTCTCTCTCTCTTTCTCTCTCTACTTCTTGACCAGAAATGGAAATAAGGTCTCCCACCAAGTATTTATATTTGAATCAGAATATTTTGGAAATCGAAGTCTTGGTGTTTGGGAGTAAGAGTCAGGAGTTCAATCGGTGCTAGAAATTTCTTTGAAACGATCCTTTGAATTTTACTTGAAAAATGTATCCTTTGAAAAATTTATCCTTTGAATTTTACTTGAAAAATTATTGCATGATTTTACCTGATTTATTATTAAATAGTAATATGCAACCGCCTCTGAAATAGATAAATACTGTGTGATTTGTCTGCCACGCCTGTTCTTGGAGAATTAAACCTTCAACACACGTGGACATAACAGTGACAGGCAAATAATAAATGATCGACACCTGAAAATAACAACAGTGTGTTGAAATGTGCTCGCTGAAAAATAAATGGAATGCATTACCATTTGTCCATGCTCAATATGACGATATTCGTGTACACGTGTATTTTAATACACACACAGGATCGTAGGCTCTAATCGTTAGCCACGGTCGAGATCGATCTCGAAGTCCTCGCGTCGCGGTCGCTTCTGAGAATGATTTATTGATCGAACAGCGAAATGTGGGTCAAACGTAAAGTTTAATGAGCGCAGGTGTCTCCATTGAGCGTGATTGTATTCGCTTTTGAGCGTTGATGAAACCTTGACGATTATTTTACATGGTATTCCGATCCAATTGCTGCTTCTAATGCGCTGGAATTTGATGAAACTGGCTAAGAAATAGTAACGAAAACCCTGTGACTTATTAAAATGTAAGATAAAAGAATATGTATGTATTTTCTCACATTCGTTTATTATAAATAGTAGCTTCAAATTGTCTGAGATTTTACATTATTTGTCTCGAAAGTTGAACTTTCTCAGAAGCAGATGCAACGATGGCTGAGTTTAGACTTCGTTTCATGCTACGTGTTTCACTCTCTCAGTTATTGCGTTAGATAGCCATCGATGGACCCTGTCGTCAGTTTATACAGTGCTTGTCTTTATGACAGCACTCCTCTGAGTGAGTCTAGTGCTGCAAAAAAGGAAAAACTATGTATTTCCTTCGCTAAATTAGGCTTTCGTCGGGTTTCTTGGCTTGCGAGGTCGCGTAAGGGGAGAGAACATTCGCCATTTAAAACATTCCCTTGCTAAGCTCTTACTCGCAGACTTGGCATCGGTGGTCTGAATTTTACGACCAGCGAGATTTTCTCACGTGTACAAGATATGGTGATGTCTACAGAAACGGAGCTCATTCGAATCGACGTGTCATTTAAAACGAGGTGTGACTTTCGCGACCCAATTGTCTGTAACGCACAATATTGGGCAAAATTCTATATGGATCGAAAATTGGAATAAAAAGTGGAATAAAAAGTGGATGGTGATTTAAGATAAAAGTTAGAGAGGGTTTGGGACCTGACCGAGTTTTAATTGAAATGGAAATAAAAAGTAACTCTGGAAAATAAAAATAACACCAATTCATTTAGGTAATAGCAATTACCAATAACGATTTATTCGGTTATTTTTCTGATTTAAATTCAACGAAAGAAATAATCCTTAAACTAACATGCAACAGAATAAATTATGATCTACTATCCAAATAAAATTTTGCCTATGCGTTTTACAGAATGGTTGGGAACGAAAGTATCGTTCGAAGAATAAAATTGAACAACTGTTGGTTTGTGAATGAAAGTGACACAAAAATGGAAGAATCTCGTACGCCAAGAACCTGGATTAAAAGCTGAATATTTCGCTCTCCATACCTAAAAAATAATAAATACATTTTGGCAATTTATGGAGAATGATGGACAAAAGAGTCGATATGTTCGTAACACTTCCACCTTTCTTCATACATTTCTGTTTACATAGTGAATATATATTTAATACTATTCACTTCTCGTCCACTTTCGAATACTTTCTTTTATTGCGTAAACACACAAATCCTTACAAACAATTTTATGCAACATTGAATGGTATATTATCATCTTCTCGAGTGAAATATTTTTATTCTAATTACAAACATAATACAAGGAAGTGGTCGAACATTTTAAATAATTTTGTTCTCGGTAATACCACAAAATGTCTCACAGTCAATCGTTCAATTCTTCTTGTAGCAGTCGAAAAATCTGTGAAAACAACGATTAAAAAATTGTTCAAGAGAATTTATTACAACGTACAAGACTTACCAAACTCACACAATTGCAATAAATTTAATTACAGCACTATATATATGTTAATACCATAAGTACAACTGCCGAACGAAATTATATTAAACAAAGGAAGAGAGAGAGAGAGAGAGAGAGAGAGAGAGAGAGAGAGAGAGAGAGAGAGAGAGAGAGAAAGATTGGGGGAGAGAGAAGAATGGGAAAAATTGCTCCCGCTGTACTCTAACGTGACGCTCGCGGAAGCACGCGGGCGGATCCTGAGATTTCTGGATGGTGAACGTTAACTCTTTAAGGAGAAATCCATACGCAAATCGGTGTCTAGAAAGTCTCAGCTTCTACTCTATTTTTTACTCTAGACTTCGTGTTTTACTAATCTGTAAGGCTCTTCTGATAAATAAAATCGTACGAGGACGTCCCGTTCGGGGGCTACGAATACCATTAGATGCGCGACGATAATTCATCGTGCCATTTTGATATAACGAGGTAATTAAAGGGTTAAGGTGCCCGGAGGTGCTCTGAAAACGCAGATACTATTTGACGCAGGAACGTCGAACGTTCCCTCGATATTTCTCGCGATAGCCGCGTAACGAATCGAGACGTTGATTGCGATCGAACGAGCGAATGGCAATCGTTCGACAGCGTTGGGCAAGGTGCAACCATGTGTTTAATCGGTGACGATGATTAATGATCAATTACGAGTTGGCGGTCGATGTACAATCAGTAATAATTAGAAATGGCAAGTCAATGATCGATACGTAATCGATAATCATGCCCGATGTTTGATAATTGATGATTAGTGACTGGTGGTACTCGTGGTTGGTAATTGATGATCAATAATCAATGATCTATGATCGATAAACTGTAATTGATGATCGATGCTCCGTGGTGAGTGCTCCATGATCTATCATCCATGTTGTATGATTCATGATCCATGATCCATGATTTATGATCCATGATCAATAATCGATAATCGATGGACAATCAGTGACAATTAGCTTTGACAGCTTACTGATTCACGGTATAAAATAACAAATATGTCAATACTTAACGATCACTGACTGATCCAACAATGATAGACGATTACTATGCACACAGTCGCAAAGTAATCATTGCC